AGTGACATGAGTATCCTGTCCTTCTCCCTCAGCCGAGCCGCTGTGTCAATCAGATTGAGGAGATCTGCCGAACGATTGAAAAGACGATCAGCCAGACGGTACAGCACACTCTCAATGCCCTGGAGCGGGATTGCCACCTCATTGACAAGGCCACGCGCAATCTGCTAGAGGAGGACAGGTCAGAGCACTGTGGGACCTGGAAGGGTTGATGTCTGAGGAGCAACATTAATATAAGGCCACATCCTGGTTGTCTGCTAAAATGCAGGAGGCTAGTACTTGGGGAAGATGGAGAGGAGAAAGTAGCCAGGAGAGGGCCCATCACATCTTGAGCAGAAAGGCTGAAACCTGAGTTTGGTATGAGGCAGAAAACAGCCTTAGTAACAGATGGGCCCTACTGAACTATGAAGTAAAGAAGAACCAGAAAGGTTGCCCATTGAGGGGAAATCAAGATGAATGCTGGAGATTGAGTGAATATCTGTGTGGAAGCCACCGTCTTTCAACTCGGTTTACCTCATGAACGTTCTCTGTGACTAAAATTAACTCCTGGGAAGAAAGGTGAAATACAACTGTAATGGGTATTAATTTATGGAGGTCGTTTTATGTTCTTAATGTTGTCTTTTATGGTTCGTTTCAGTATTGATAAAATTATGGCTGTTTTATAATTATTTTATTGTATTTGCTTTTACTTTTGTGAGTTGCCTTGAGCAAGTCTCTGGCGCGGTGGCATGTGTGTTTTCTGTAAGAGAATAATAAAGCATGGCTGGAGGCAGAGGGAATTTTGGGACATTGGCCATCAATCCTCAGTAAAAACAGTGAAAGGATGTGATGCCTGAGAGGAAACACGGACATAAAAATGAGAAAACGGAGGTCTGTGAAAGGTAGAAACAATGGGTTATGCCTTTCTGAGGCGTTGTGCGATCATGTGGTCGTCAAGAGGGCTTTCTCCTAATTTGCAGACGTTTGTACTTTACTATTTCCCCTTCTTGTGCCCACAGTGAGGCTAGAAGCAATAACTTCCATGCCCGGTTTCGGGGAGTCCTGTTGGGGCTAGCCGGCTGCCTGATACCCTTCTTTCTCCTTATCACTCTGCTTTTTGGCACAGCAGCTGCTCGCCAGCTGTGGTCCCTGGTCTTGGGAAAGGAGCAGAGCCAAGCACTGGAGCTATATGTGGTGAATACATTTTTTCCTTAACGTTCTTGCTCTTTTTAAAAAGATTAGATTGTGCTGTGTATTTAAACTGTGTAAATGTTTTCCTCAGAACGATTTTGTGGTAGGGATTTAATAATAGCATCTATATAGCGCTTTCAGTATTCGAGGTGCTTTGTGTATATCATCCTGTCATAACCCTTACAACAATCTGGTAAAGGAAAGGAGGCTAGTATCTTCATGCTGCAGATGGAGGGAGGGGCTGAGTGACTTGATTAAGTCCACCCAGGGGTCATTTTGTAGAAAAAGAGATGCAGGTGCTCATTAGCATAACTCATTAGCATAACTTATTTGCATATACCACACCTCCTGACATCACTGGAAGTGTGTCAGAAGGCAACACCCACCGCTCAGGCTCCACTGGACTGTTTTGGGAGGGGCGGGACGTGCAGATCTGTCCTCACAGAGGAGGGAGAGCTTGTACCTGAATAAAACTTGGTCTTAAGGGTGCCACTGGACTTTTTTGGACTGGGGGGGTCTCTGCAACTTATCTGGCTGCTTCTTGCGCTGAGGGCTGCTGGGAGCAGGGGGTGGGGCTTGTTGCATGTTCCCGCCCCCTGGGCTCTTTACTGCCGGAACTCCGCTCCTGTGCGCTCCTGCAGGAAATGACCCCTGAGTCCACCTAGTGTGTTCATGGCAGAAGTGAGCTTTGTACTGGTGACCTCTCATCTCACAGCTTGTCTTTGTATGCGGACTTTGCATGATTTATACCAGAGGTGTCAAACTCATTTGTTACGAGGGCTGGATCTGACATAAAAGTTACTTTGCCAGGCCGGGTCACGTCTGCCATAAAATGTAATCCAACTTTATAAACAACACAGACAAGCCTAATTAATGACATTATTTTTAACCCAAAATACAAACAAAAGGAATTGATCCCTAGGAGTTAAAGCAACTGATTTTCTGGGGAATCCACAAAAGCCCCAATTAATGTATGCATGACTAGGTTTTTTCCAAGGGATACCATACCCACCCCCACCCCCAGCAGCCTCCTGCCTTTCCTCTCTTCCACCAGTTGCTTGCGAGTCGGATAAGAGCCCTGAATGGGCTGGTTCTGGCCCCCGGGCCACATGTTTGACATCCCTGATTTATACAGTTCTCAGAATTCATCTCTTCCTGATGCACTTTCAATTGCCAAAGCATGATGGTTTTACTTTGTACAAAAGTGTAACGCGCAGAAACCCTGTTCATGGTTACAGCCATGGATGCCTATCCTTTTTAAAACCCACAATCTTGTTTTTCAGCGGCCAGTTGCCTCCGCCTGGAGCCTCGTCCCTGAAGACTACACCTTAAGCGTATTCTTCTTCCTTCTCGGTCTCTCAATTGTCCTCCTTCTGTTGTCTAGCTACGCTTTCCAGTAAGAAGTTTTCTGTATTTTAGATCTAAAAGCAGCCGGCGTTAAAAAAAAAGTGTACGTTAAATGCTTTGTTCAGAGTTCAGATTTTTAGTTGTGTCTTCTTTTCCTACCTAGGACGAAACCCACTCTCTCAAAAAAACAGAAGCGGCAGCTGGAGGACCGGCAGGATTACGTGTTGGACGTGGTGCTGGAGAAAAAGGTTGACAGCTGTGGGGAATTAGGCCTGGGGGCCTGGGAGTTGATTCTGTCCCAAAGGATTGTGGGTGGCAAAGGAAGGGTGCTTGGGCCCCTGTGTGGGATTTTGGGGGATACCAAATATGTACATTCTCCTTGAGGGATTCTGGGAGGGTTACAATTAATGTGCAGGGTTACAATTAATGCTCTTTTCTTGCAGAGACAGCTCTATGAGGAGTACCTACGGCAAAGTATCGGCGAGCAGGACCTGAGCTGAAAACTCATCCCTAACGTACCCCCCTCCAACAGACTGCCAGCCCTGTACCCACAGGCCGCATTACTGCTTGTCCTCTTAGTCACTGGCTCTGAGTGGACAGTGAGTCTCCGCAGGGGGCCAATTCTTCTCCCCCCCAGCCACGATGCCTTCTCATCCAGTTGGCGACTTTTCCCTCTCCTTGTGTTTTTGATTGGCCAGCAGCCCCCATCACTATTTTGAACTGCTGTGATTCAGCATAGCTGGGGGGTGCCATGCATCTGCCAAGACAGCAGTGTACCTGTTCTGTTAACTGTGTCACTTCTCAGTTCTTTTGATTAGATCAGTACTGCCCTGCTGCTCCTTACAGCCAATTGGACCACACGCCCCTCCATCCTTGAGGATTGTACAGCCACGAACTGAAGTCTGAATGGGACAGTGATGTTCTTTATTGGCTACTGTCATGAGCATCTGGGGCATCTTCATCCAATAAGGTGGCAGCACCCACTTCCCCTCATTCTGATTGGTGCTCCCCTTCTTTGGTGGTGTATCCCCTACCTCTGTACATTTTGTGACGGCCCATTTCATGTACTGACCACCTCTGACTGGCCAGGGACGAACACCGTAAACTTTGATGCCTTTTCTCTCCATTAACTGTGAAGTGTTAAGACTTCGTCTGTTACTTGGGTGTAATACCCCATGCCTGTGAACTTCTCTAGATGTGTAGGAAGTACATGTTTATCCGTTCGTCTCTCACACTAACTTGTGCCTTCAACTGATTACTAGTTCTTGGGTAGAAGGGGGGGGGATTTTTAGGGCTACCTACTGTCCTCTCTCCCCTGTTCTTCCTTCTGACCTACCTGGACTTTTATTTAACACTGTGAAATGCCCCTCAAGCTATGGTTTGCTATAAGCTATCATTTACCCAGCACCCTTTGCAGCATACTGCACATACTGGCAGGTGTAGGAGGTAGCTTATGCTGGTGATAGGGACTCTCTTGGCTGTTCTTAACTAATATGTCTCCTCTTCCCTGCATTTGTTAATTGTGGAATACCACCACTGTATTCTGACTACCAGTATCCTAGCATTGGGAATGGTGCTGTTAGGAAATGACATCATTCCAGCTATTTTAATTGCTCCCTGTAGTGGGGCAAGTTGCATAAACAGTAGTTACTGATCCACATTTCCAGGAACAGAAATTTCCGTTCTAGAATCAGTCTTTCCAGTTTTTTGCCTTAAGAAAACATTTGTCTCAGGTACAACTTACAATGATGGGATGAAAAGTTTGCTTAACTGAATGTCCTCAGTAGCCCTCATAGTGCCCCAAAGTTGTCTTATTTGGGCTCTGGTTCCTCTAGTGTGAAACTTAGATTGCAGTGCTTTCCAGAAACCCAGGGGTGCAAGTAACTTCTTATGTATTCAAAACACTCTTCTCCCACCACATTCTAACAGGAAACAGCCTGTTATTGGAAGCAGCAAATACTACATATGCCAACCACTGGGTCTCAGCTTCAGATCACTCTGTTCTGGGAAGCAAGAGGAAGTTGACGGGTGTGCTGTTGCTGACTGGCTAATTTCAATTCCTTTTAAAGTCATTTCTTCAGGGTTGGCATGAACTGCTGCTACAGTAGAGATGGGGGGGTGGGAGAGAGGCTGAAACCATTCTGTGGTAGAAGTTACCTCAAGGGTAGTTTGTGTGTACATCCCTTCTGATGCAGAAGTCCCTCTTTCTGAGGCACCACCAGACAGCTGTTTTCTTGCAGTGACTGTAGCTGGAAACTTAGGGGAGCTGCATTTGTAGCATTTAATAAAGCTCAATTTAGAACCTGCCTCTCTTTTCTGTCTAGAAGCTTCTTTTCAGTCCTCCTGTGCTTTTGGGGGCCACTTTTCACAGGGGTTCAAAGCCCAGTTTCACTCAAATGAAGATCATTAAGAAACAATCAAGCATTTTTATTTAACATAGAAAAAGACATTTGACTTTACAGTATTGGAAAATATTGCCTTTCAGGCTGCCCTGTAACATGGATTCCCTCTAGACCAGAAAAAATGTTTTGGCCTGAGGGCTACATCTGGGTCTCCACCTGCTTCTGAAGGCCTCCTGTTGGATGCTGGGTCTAACTGTTTTTAAGTGCCAGATTTGGCCTTCAGGCCATAATTTCCCTTCCTCTGCCCTATATACGTCACATCTACCTTCTTGACCTGTGTAGGTCTCTATCATACCTTCGTTCCACACATAATAGTTCTATTCCAAATCTATCTCCCTCCCTGCTCCCCTTTCTGCCCAAGGAGAAAGGCAAAGGCATTTCCAGGGACTGCCAATTGTTAGCAAGAGTCACCGATTTAAGTCGGTGAAGAGTTTCTTCATGAAAACTGGCTGGCTTTTTATTCCCAGCCTAATAAAGCATCATTCTGTTGGCCTCTTGAGGCGCGAGTGGCCATCTTGGCAGTTTCTCCTCATGTTTGGAGTGAGCTGCAGCCATCTTGATGCCCTCCATTTATGAGCACAGTAGACACTGCCTCCTTAACGTGAGTAACCGCCGTGTTGCCTGGCTTCCATCCGTCTGTCCATCTCCGTATCCACATAGACGTTGCCGTTGTGTCCAGAACCTGAGTAGCATGTCGAGACTCAGAGCTAGGGAGGAAGAAAACATTTGAGTGATATGTGGGGCTTCTGTTGCTGGGGAGGGGTGGGGGAGGAATACCTCAGTTTGTGTCAGCTGGTTCATATTGAGCTTAAGGTGCACAGATTGGTACAAATGGTGGATTTATACCCACTGTCTGTTGCATGAAAAAGCTACATGCCAATAAACATGACTGACTGTACGAGAAAAGCCCATTTTGAGGGGTGAACAATGGACATCTTCCCTACCTGTTCATACAGTGGAGCCATTTTGGATTGTGCCCTGCCCTCAGAAAGAGAGACAGGCATTCTGGTCAGTCACACACATGTTCCTCACCTGCATTTTTCATTCCTTGGATGGGGTCCCTTTCCGTTTCTGCTCTGTGCGCTGCAGCTTCAAGACTATCTTGCGTTCATGGCCACCAGGATTCGGACGATTTGTGTGATCCTCAGCCTCTCGCTTAGAACGGCCCTTGCGGGAACAGCCGCCTGGTGCTACAAAACCAAGGAGAGTTACAGATACATTTTGAAGTATAGGCTTGCAATCACTTCCATGAAGATTAGCTGCTGCAGAATTCAACCCACCAAACTGGGTGTGGTGCATGGGACAGCCCTTGATCTCAGCCTTTAGTCCAGAAAAAAATCGCATAATATTTTATTCTGACCAGCCCAAAAGTACCACAAAACAATGTGACTGTATTCTGCAGAGCTCTTCATTAGGCTAGATGTTCAGTAAGGGGGGTGGGAGGCGGCAACAGAAAGATCTTGAAAGGGTACACAGTTTGTAGAGTCAAAACAGGGTCTGCTCCTCCATCATATCTTGAAGTATCTCTCTTCCCACCTTTGTTTCTATAGAACATCCTGACAAAGAGTACTGAGATACTTAAAAACCTGGAGCATCTTACTACTGTTTTGGAAATTTTCTGTGGGACAGCCTTCAATTTTCTTTTACGGTCTTTATCTCGGATGCCCCCCTCCCAACTCCTTTGCTTTGCTCGGCCAGTTATGTCTGAATTTGGACGCTCACGGGTGAAAATCCATAAAGCTGGGATCCAGCAGTGAGCTATCTTCAGTTGTAAACAACTCTCCCAAGAGTCTTCCAGACTCTCCCAAGAACCCATGTCACGTTCCAGGATGACAAGGGACTGGCTGGAACAGAAAATTTTCCCTATATGTGGAGCTGCTTTGTTTTCCCTTGACCACACGAATGACCGCAGTCTTGAGGCACAAATGGAGGCTGAAATTCAATCTGCAATCATGAGGCAGAAATGGTGGCTGAAATTCAAAAGCCCCAAGTAGGAGGATGAGCAGAGGAATTCAGCACATATGGGCTGCTCCTTTACCCTGTTTTCCCCCCACGGCAGCCATTTATTTCCCTCCTTTTCCAGCATGTATTCTAGGCACCTTACCGCCCGCTTCTAGGGTACAGCATGTGTGGTACCAAGTGATTTCCACCACATCAGTAGTAGCTTTTCCAGCCGCTGCTATCATGGGAATCACTGGAAGTGCATGTGAACCCTATGGTTCAGTTTTTTTCCTCAGTACGTGCAGCATTCTGAAGATTGTTTGGATGCAGGAAAAGCATACCACGTGAACAGCCTGAGAATGCATATGCTGGACCGCTTAATGCAGATGTCATTTTTATTTACATTATTTATCGTCTGCCTTTCTCACTAGGCAGATCTCACCACCGTCAACAGCGGGGGGGGGGCATTTCAATAAAACAGGGCAATCGAGTTTGGTTAGCAGACATGTGAAAGACGTTAATAACAAGTGGCTCTTGGGTTATGAGTGACTGCAAGACCAGTTACCTTTCCCCACCCCTTGAAACTTCCCTTTCAGAGTGAGGGAAGGCGGCTTAAGCGGGAGGGGGCGCGGGGGGGGGGTCCCCCATCCGCTTACTTCACGCATCGGCGTGTGGTGTGGATTCTATTCTGGACTCTTGAACAGTGTTCCCTCTAAGCTGAGTTAGTGTGAGCTAGCTCACAGTTTTTTAGCCTCCAGCTCACACATTTTTGTTTTAGCTCAGGAAGGATGGCTCCAGAGCAAACTAATTTTATGCAGCAGCCAAACTACCTGCTCACAACTTAAATGCCAGTAGCTCACAAAGTAGAATTTCTGCTCACAGGACTCCACAGCTTAGAGGGAACATTGCTCTTGAACCATTTAAACAAAACTGTACGCTGGCCTAAGCTTTCCTAGACTAAAGCCGACTCCTTCAAATGCAATCTGGATTGGTTACTGCGAGTCCAGAACCAGAGGGGGAGAGTGAGTTTCAAACAGTGTTGTGGGTTTGTTTGTTTTTTGTAATATTTAGTATTGCTAGGTAAGTTGCCCGGTATGAAATAACTATTTAAAATGAAGACAGCGATGCTTTCTTACGCTTTTTTTCCCCCGGTTAAACGCACGGCAGCCCCTGCTTTTTGCACCTACCCATGTGTGCTTTTAAATCCCGGGCCAGATTCCCCAACAATAAGAAACCACCACCCCCGGCTGCCGTCCATCTCTGCCAGTACACTTACTGCTGTATCTGTCCGTTAGGCTGTAAAAATCGTACTGGTCAAAATATTCCACCTCGAAAGCGGTCGGGCGTAGCTTCTCAGCTTGGACGAAGGAAGTCGACATGGTGGGGAGTTAATTCTTCAGATGCAGCAGGCAAGACGACGGAAAACTGCAGACACAGACAGCGCGCCTTTAACCCGCGAGTTGTTTGTCTGTTCCTCAAGGGCTTGAGAGCTGATATATACACGCCACACACACACACACACCCCAACAACACCCGCAGTTGCATCATGTGCCCTCCACCCCTTAAAGCCACAGGCAAACAGAACATGATGCAACTGATCAAAACACAAGCCCGCCTGACTCATCAGAGTCCCGCCCCTACTGGGAACCCTGGTGCTGGGCCAGGCCACCACCCCCTATAGATGGGGTGGTGGCCAGGCCGGCCTGTGCGGTCAAAGCCATGCCTTGAACGTGGCTCAAGGGGTGGTGGGGGAAATAGATCCCACCAGGGAATGCTAAGGGTTAGGACTCGTCCAGCCAGCAAGAGGGATTCATCCTGTGGCAGGGAAGTGGGGGTGGGTACGGGCACGTGTGTTCGTGTGAATCCTCGCTGTCACAGTGCTTGACAGAGATCTGCAACAGCCGGTTCTATCATCTTCTTTGCTGGAACAAATGTCAAGTTTTTCCTCTGGCTTCTGGGACATGTA